TCTTTTCGCGCTGTCGAGCCCGCGCTTGCAGTGCGACTTTCGACGAAAAGCTTGTACGACAGGAAGAGTAACAACATTCTTATCGACACTCAGGAGGGGCGTAGTCACAAAAGGGTTAAGTTCAATGTTGAACTACGGAGGACTGCAGTACTATTCTCAAATAAGTCCGAGTTAAGAGGGAGGTGGTGAAGAGATTATTTGGATGTGATGAATGACTTATTCCGGGTTTTGGGTGATAACGACACGGTGCCGCTTACCTGGCGATAAAACTCCTCAGGTATCGACGTGAGGAGTTTTTTTTTTGTAGATCGTGTATCTTGTACCGGGTGTTCGTCTGTTTCCGGCAGAAAACGGATCGCCGAGATCTCCGTGGGAGATCGACAATACTGTCCTTACTTACGTGGCTGTTGTGGGTTTGATGGACTTGACGCGCAAGGCTCTCTACTTTCTTCCTGCCACAGTATTCTCTCAGTCAAAGCAACTTGTCACTCCTCTTATTGTGTGCAACAGGCAAACACTCGCTAGTCGAAATGAGCCCGAGAGCTTGCACCGACGCAGCAAACAAGATCGGCTGGGATGTTATCTAAACTTCACGTCTGGTCACCCTCCGGGTGTCAAATCCCCGTGGTTATCAAACATCAATCCCCAAACGCAATGAATGACGCAATCCACGTCTTGCCGTTCCTTGTTTCTGTCTGAAACCTGATGGAACATAACATCTCTTATCCGTTGTGTTTATAGGCCACTGCTATGACGCAGACGCTCTGGTCGAGCGTGAAAAAGAAGAGTGCATACGAATACCGCGGTACACAAACGCAGCCACTGTAGTAACCTCGACCATGGCCGTGCGTTCTCGCCGGATTTCGAAGCAAGATAACTAGATATCGTATCAATATCGCATGATATCGGAGAAATACCGAGATATCGTACCCATATCGCATGGTACGAGATATGAGATATCCAGATATCCAGAATTCTTCCGCGATATCCGATACGATATATCTATCGCATATCGCAAAATAGACTACATCGATCGCCCATCCGATATGCGATACGGAATACTACTGCCGGAGCCATTTCGAGACCTGCGACATGATAAACCGGATGATGACCATCAAGTGCGACAAGTAATACAGGCCCAGACTACCCGCCCTCGTCGACATACTCTTTATAAGAAAAGCTTATAAAGAGTATGTCGACAAGGGCGGGTCGGAGAACGTCCTTGGTCTGGACAGCTCCCCTTTTAAGGGCCGCGATCTCAAGGTGTGTTGCCAATAACTACAAGACACGACTCGGAGTATCAGGTTAAATGTCGGTCATTTTTTGTGTCAACCATGTTTTAACAGGGTTTTCGCACGATTGAGAGCGAAGTTTCCGATTGAGAACGAGAACCAAAAAAAATCGAAATTCGGGTCCAGACGCCTCCCGTCATTTCTCGGGAAGCAGGGGACGGGCTCTTCCAAAAAGCGGCGCAAATTGAAGCTCTCTTCAGCAGCTTCGCGTGCATATGCGTGTCACTACGATCGGCTGCAGCAGCGAGGAGCTACGCACGTTG